ATATTTTCATAACTTAGTAATATTTCGATAACGATATTTTTATTTATTTAACTACGTATACTTTCAACTCATTAATTAGAGAAATGATATGTGTATATTACATATTCATCTATAAAATTATATTAGATTGACTCCTATTTAATTTTTTTTAATTAAATTTAGATTGTGGTGAACAATATTAACTAGACTCGTAAGGGTTATTTACATGAATTATACGTTTTCATCAATTATAATAAATTGGTTATGAAAGAACTTATGGGATTCTAACTCCATCAAAATTATTCTTAAGGGTGTGTGTTTTTTGAAGAATTTTGTATTTTTTTTATATGGATAGTGGCAATGGTTGATTATTAATGCGAAATAAATAATTAAAAAAGAAAAAAAATCTACTTATCATTCATAATGTTGAGCAATATAATTTTTCTTGCTAACCCTAATATTTTAAGTTGCAAATGAAATATGGATCTCTGAAACCAGTTTAGTAATGTTTATAATTTGAGAAATTTGTTAAGTATAATTATTAGTATTAATAAAAGAGACTAATAAATATATAATTCATACTTAAAATATTAAAGTAGATAATATGAGACTTTTTCTGATATGTTTCTCTTAAATAAATGAAAAAACTTTATTATTACGTTAAATTTTAACTTAATATTAAGTAGTATTTAATAAAATTATCATCTGATATATAAATTATATTTAGAAAATTAAATTAAATAATATAAGACTCTTGGGTAAAAGTCTAGGTCAGAGAAATGGCAAAGTCACATTCTTGGTGTTGAAAATTGGGGAAACATTGGGAAACACTTGGGGTTTATGATATAAAGACTAAACATGCTTTAAGGATTTTGAGAGTATTGTGAACAAAGTAGAAACTTAAAGAATGGAGGGAATATTTTTGCAAACCTTTGTGTCATCCCTTCTACCATATGAATTTTGATTTATTTGTTTTTTTTTTTCAAAAGAATAAGTGACTTCTTTGACAGGGAGAATAGAAACTTCTTCTACAAGAGAGGAAATGATTCCATAAACTTTCTTTGGGGAGACTTGGGATTAATCAGACCACTACTTTCCATTTATGAAGATTGGAGAGAGTGTCCTCAACAAGGAGAGGTGCCTTAGGGTAAAAGCTAGAACTATCCCTTTCTTTCAAAGCTAATAATTAGGTATTGAATATAGGAGATTAAACATGTAGATTTGTTTAAATGTATGTTAAACCCTAAACTGTGTATGTGAAAGCATGATTTATTTACTACTATTTTAATAAAGAGGTTTATGTTTTTTTTACTATTTTAAAAATTAGATGGATGAATCTATTAAACTGAAAATCGAACTAAAATTAAGTTAAGTACTCATATTTTAATTAAATTAAAATAAAATAAAAAAAATTGATGAAAATTTTGAATGTAATTGTAAAAAAAATTATTATTATTAATTTTTTAATATAATTTTCTTATAAAAATATAATATATTATTTTTTTATTTTAACTATATAAACTTTAAATAAATATATTTTATTATATTTTAATAATTATTTATATTATATTTTTAATATATTTTATATTTATAATTTTTATTATAAAATGATGATAATTTTTATTTTTTATAAAAATATTAATAAATTTAATATATTATAAAAATATTATTTTATTAAATACGATGTAGGTTTACGGAATACATGTTTTCACAATTTTAAATACATTAATTTGGTTGAAAGATGACGATGAGCCGTGCCTAAGGTTGGGCTAGTGAAGTAGCTCAATCTTTTTCATTCACTGTTTTTGACTTTGATCTTCCAGTTATCGCTTGGGATACACCTTGTTCGATTAGATGCATAATTGGGTCTGTAGGATTCAGAACCCAAAAAAAAAAAAAAAAAAAATCTTATAAACTTTTTGGGTTACAAAATTAAATTACATGTTCTGGATTTTTATAAATAGACTTGCGGAATTCTTTTATGATTAAATTTAATCAAAAGAAATGTCATCTTTCTGTTTATAATATAAATCCAAAATTAAACACAATTTTTAATGTTGTCACATTTAATTTTTAATTTTTCCAATGCCGTAGTGCATGACTAACTTATCATAACAGACATTTTTGCTACCATCTTCATACATGGTAAGGCCACTTTTTTTTTTGCTTTACTCTCTAATTTAATATCTTTTATCGTACTTTAAATAGATATTATTAGTAGCAACTTGTTTCTGGTGAAATTTTGATCGATTTTGATTTTTTAAAAGATTTAGTTCTAACCAAATTCCAACTACGTAGATTCTTTTTACTCAGGCTAGCAAACGATTTTCAATCGAAATGTGTATGAGAATCGAAAATCATATAGTACCGTAAATCTTAATGCAACCTAATGACAATCGAACACGCTATTTTTTGGTATTTTGTATTTAAAGCACTCGAAGTAAAGAAAACAGTAAAATATCAAATCGAAAAGCAGTACAATATTACAAAGAAATGCAAGATGCAGAAACCTCAAATTTGCATTAAGTGTAAATGATGAGGAATTGAATTTGCAGAAATGTAAATAGCAGGAAATTGAAATTGCATAAACGTTAAATGACAGGAAATCGAAATTGCATGAACGTTAAATGACAGGAAATCGAAATTGCATGAACGTTAAATGACAAATAATCGAAATTGCATGAACGTTAAATGACAGAATTTTAAGTATGGAATTTTACATTGCAAATTGGAAATACAAAAACTTAAATTGCATGAACACAAATTGTATGAAAGTAAATTGCATGAACGTAAATTACTAGGGAAAGTAAAGAAAGCGGTAAAGACGCTCAATGAAAAAGGAAATCCAGATCGCCAGAAACTTCATGATTTCGTCGTTCTCCGGTAGACTTCTCACTAGTATTTCTGTTCTCTCTGCCAATTTCCCCTCTTTCTTCATTCTTCATTCTATTTATAGGGTGCTCTTTAGATAACCTCCTAAGAGCGGTTAACAAAACTGCACTCCACGTTCCATTATGCACGTTCCTTCAGTCTTAAACAGTTTTAAAAACTGTTTTCCACGTTCTCACGCATAAGAGAACTACTCCCTCGATCTTCGATCTGAGCCATGGTTTAGGAATCATTTCCCATGTCCCCTGTGTATTCACTGCTCCCTCGATCTCGATTTCTCTCATCGAGTATTATGAATTTTACTTTTGATTCCCTTTAATTCTTAACTTTGTACTATTCTAATATCTCGATTCTCTTCAACAATAGACATCAAAATCTGTTTCTTCGATTCTCGATTTTTCTTTCCTTCATTTTTTATCCTTTCAACGATTTTCCACTAACACAACTGTTGCTCGCTAATGAATTTAATTAGGGTAGACCGTACCATTCTATGTGGGTCAACTAGGATTGATATTAAATGGATCATTAACCAATCAATTTAATTAGAGTTGTGGTAATACTAAATTTAGGTTCTATTGTCAAGATTTTTGGGTATCGAGACATCATTAAATTTTCTTGACAGGATTACTATATACAAAATATGTATTTAGTATTTTTTTTAAAAAAAAGGTACTTCCGATCATTAAATTAATAGTAGCACATACAATCATATTTTTAATAAAATATATAAAATATAGATTTATTAAGATTGTAAATAACTTATATAAATAATTACTTATAATAAAGAAAAAAATATTTATTATTACTCTTTAAAGAATAAGATAGATCAGTTCACAATCGATTTATTATTTTTAAATAATCAGATTTAATTAAAAAGAAAAAAATAGTACAAAATCAAAAAAATAAATAGAATTTTTTGTTAAATATAATATAATTTTTCTTTGATAAAAAATATATTTTATCTTTTTTTCATATTTATTATATTAATTTTAAATAATAATTATTTTATCTTATTTTAATAATTATTTATCTTATTCTCAATAATATATTTTATATTATATTTATAATCTTTATTATAATTAAGAATATTATTATTTTTCTTTTTTTATAAAAAATATTATTATTAATAAATTTATTATATTATAAAAATATTTTTTTATTAAATCCTATGGTATCTAAATATGATTGAATTTTCAAGTCCTAAATAATTTCTTCACCGATTTTAAAGACATTATTTATTATAATACATGCATAATTGGTATAAGAAGGTTAATTTCAACTATGATATTTACTATTTACTAATACGTTAATATACAATTTATTATAAAAAAAGAAGATTTTTTTTAACTACAATCATTCATTCATAATTAATTATTCAGTTGATAATTATATGATAGTATTTTACAATTGAAAAATATTATAAACAAATCATCATAGATATTTTTTGTCCAATCTAATATTTATTTTACGTTTTTGTAAAAAATAAATAAATATTATGGTTCTACTTTTTTTAACATTTCACATCTATTAAAAAGACTATTAATCTTTAACCTAAATATGTTGTTATTAAGTCAAACACCACCTCATCTTCATCACTGCTTATTATACCGTTTTATAATTATTATCATAATCAATTTTTATGTTACATATATATGATCAATATTTTTCAATTGATAAAAAAATTTACTAAAACTCATGTATGGGAAACATAAAAATTGATGGAAACCATGACATTCTAAGATTAAACAATAATTTCTACTTAACTATGTCTAAGTATTAAGTTGTGGCTATTTATCGACAGAATATAACTAAAGCATAGTCAAATAAAATTTTGAAATACTTGGTTAAGTAACTCGTTTAGAAATTTTCCAAAAACTAAAAATAGATTACTCCTTCATTAATAAACTTGTTGAAAAAGATCAAATAGAATCAACACATATCTGAGATTATATTTGTGACCAAATAGTTAAGTAGCAGGATTAGTTTTCACACAAGTTATAAGTGCTTCACCTACCACCTTTCAAACCTGAAACAATACAATCTACAAAACAGTTTTTGTGCTTAACATGGTCGTAACATTCACTCACACACCCTTTTCCTTTTCCTTTTCCTTCTCCTAAAGCCTTGAAGCCATGCCATATATGACGCTAAGTCGAGGGTTCTCCGTTGTGTTCCTCCTCCTTGCTCTGTACTGTGCGTTGGACCCCTTCCAGCACAGTCCCATTGCGGGTTTCCCTGACTTCGAGGTGCACAAAATCGAAATGCCCGCATGGTCTGAGGTTCCCGTGGACCGAGACAGAGACAACTCGTTACAGAAATCACAAGTCTTGTTTGTGAACCAAGTGCAGGGACCAGAGAGCATTGCCTTTGATCCTCTCGGTCGTGGCCCTTACACTGGTGTTGCAGATGGAAGGATTTTGTTTTGGAATGGACTCTCTTGGACTGATTTTGCATACACCTCTCCCAATAGGTCACATTTATCTTCATTCCTCCCTTTGCCAACTCAAATGCTAAATATTAGTATACTACAATACTCTAAGTACTACTAGTAAGCTTGACAGTGCTAGCTTAGATATATCTATGTTCTAGCTAAAATATACTATGTTCTAACTCTGCCAAATGACATTATATGCATATTTATCTCTGCTCAAGCTATTTTGGATTATGATGTGCTACTTAACCTCTTACTGAATAAATTTCTCGAACAAACATTTGCAGAAAAAGAAAATAAATAGATAAAATCAATTAGTTTTTTTTCCCATAATCCAAGTCAATTTATTCATAACTTAAAATCCACCGGTAAAAAAATCTAAATAAGAATTTTTTTTACAAATTACCAAAAATCTATTTAGGGTGATGGCAATGTTGCGGTGGGAATGTTTGAATGAGAGAAAACAGATGATTGATTTCATGTTGACTGTTAAATACCTCATTGTGGCTTGTATATGTTGGCAACATCTACAGCATTTTCTTTCTAAACACAGGTCAGAACTATGTAATCCTAAGGCTTCTGCATCTCCACTGAGTTATGTTGAAACTGAGCACATATGTGGAAGGCCTTTGGGGCTCAGATTTGACAAGAAAACTGGTGATTTATACATAGCGGATGCATATTTTGGGGTGATGATGGTGGGGCCTCAGGGTGGTTTAGCAACATCCCTTGCAACTGAAGCTGAAGGGGTGCCGCTGAGATTTACTAATGATGTAGACATTGATACAGAGGGGAACCTTTATTTTACAGATAGCAGCAGTAACTTTCAGAGGAAGTAAGCCAATGTCATTGATCTTTTACATGTTGATACGACACGTTTTGAATATATGACTATAGTTTGTATGAGAAGTACTAAAATAAAGCATGGGATGCTGTTCATTTACTTTGGAATATATATAGCACCCTTATTTTTCTATGCCATATTTGAATGAAAGAAATTGCATCACTATTGTATCATGTCTTCTATGGTCGGTCAATACGATGTATTTTAAGGTTGGTTATTATCCAACCCTGTTTGTTTAATGATTAGTTCATTGTTATATAAATAGACCCTTTGTATTGTTGTATACACGTTGAATATGCATTACTTCTCACCCTTTTCTCTTCTCTTTTATTGTGTTTTTCCTCTTCCTTGTCTCTTCTTTTGAGATGGTAGCAGAGTTTTTCTTTTGAAGAGCTCTGCTATGTAATTGTATGTAACTGTGTCCTAGTTTCTTCTTTTCTTTTCTTCCTTATTCTCAATAGCGCAAGAAGCTAAATAACAAGTTCTTCTACTTGCACCTTAGCGAGAATTCCGCTACCAAACATGTTTCCCTTGTTCTTGGTCAAACCAACTATCATTCATGGAGTCGATCCATGATCACTACATTGAGTACCAAGAACAAGTTGAAATTCATTGATAGCACTGACAAACAACCTAACAAAGACGACCCTTCTTATCATTCTTAGAAGTATTGCAATAATATGGTGATCTCTTGGATCGTGGGAGCGCCGTAATAATATGGTGATCTCTTGTATTGTTTATGCTGTCTTTGAACCCATACGCAAGAGCATTCTGGAAGGTTAATGTGAAAGATATCTAAAACGACTTCAAGTCAATATATTTTCAAGACAATCTCTTAAGAATTGCCAAAATGCAAACTGAATTCTTGTTGATTAATTCAATTATGATTCCCTACTTGAATAACAGCTCGTCCTATGAATGACTACAAAGCTCTTCTCTTTTGTTGTGTTCTAGAGTCACTCATGAAGCGAGCTATTATTCAAGTATGGAGTTAGAATAGAATTAATCAAATAAACAACATGTTTAAGAGAATAATAGCAAAAATTTAAAGTCAGTTTGAAATGAAATAGCAAGATACGGGTAACATTCAAAATATACTGATGTTTTATTTCAAAAATACCATTTTGTTGGGAGGAGGGGGTTCAGTGCAGTTGGTTTAGTGAACTATACCCTAATAATTTTGACATGTTTTTCAAATTAATTTTCTACGTAGGTGATGAAGTTGAGTAAATGGGTTTTGGTTTCGCTTTTATTTTGCATAAGATAAACTAATATATCGAGTGCAATCATCAACAATGGTAAAAAAATATCTATGGTCATCAGGACAGGATTCCCAAATATCAACAAGTAAAAGTATGAAAGTGTCGAGCTATGAGTCACTTAGATTAAAAGGTAGGCGTTTTTGCTTAGCTAAGCGACCAAAGGTTGATTCTTATTCAAATGTATGTAGGAATGTTGTTGTTTCGTGATAAGTAAGCATTCATAGGACAAATGTCCTAGGCAAGCATGTCAAAAATCTCTATTATCAACCGTGGAAGATTGGATTGAATAAGATTGGATAGTGGTGACATTAAAGATAAATAAACCTCTCTTAATGTTAATTACACCAATTTTCCTTTGGTTTTCTTGTCCTGGATAATGCAACAATTATTAAAAGAAAAAATAACATCATATTTTAACATAGAGGTTAGTTTAGAGAGAGAAATCAAATTATAAATAAACAATGGGATGAAGACAAGAACTTGACAATACCAATACAAGTGACACAAACCCTTTCACCATTTAGGAGATTGACAATAATAGGGTTGATAGCTTTTTAAGAAAGAAAGGTAGTAAGAGGTAACATAATCAGTGACACCAGAATCAATTATCCAAGAGGTTAAATTTTGGAATTTCGAATAATTTATATTAGCAATCACGTTATTTTTCATTTTTGGCGACTTTGTCGAGCAAGACGTTATTTGGTTTATAGAATTACTTGAGTTGTGTTGTGGAATGAGGGACATTAGAACTTGATTTTGCTTATGTGAGAGACAAAAGTCTTAGTTTCTTGAATCGGAGGTATTGTTGATCTCATATGTAACCTCAACAAAGCTAACATTACTCTTATCATTGTATAATTTGTGGCCAGGGGAACTCGTGTTTCCTATAACAAATGTTAGCGGTATGACTGAGCTTCCTACAACACGTACAAGTCTTCTTTGAATTCTTGTTACCCTTATTGTCATGGTTTTATGGAAAATCATGTTTCAGGTATATGACGTTCTTAGTGTGACATGTTTTCCACAATAAGAGCAAGAACCAACCGAGCTTGCAACATTATTAATTTTGGGTCCTAATTTAGCAATAAAATCATTCTCATGGATATGCCTTTCCCATTGAGAAAGATAAGAAAATATTTTGTTTATGAAAGTAATGGATTCTATGAGAAGAACGTGAGATTTTATATTACTGCATTAATCATTCAATCTTCCAAGAAATTGCATAGCTCGATTTTCATCCTTCTTTTGGCAAACAATAGAAACGGCAGGTCATCCTATTTAAGCAAGGAGGTTTCAATTCACAAATGGACAATTCTTAAGAGATTGCTTTGGAAATATTTTGACTTGAGGTCGTTCCAAAAGTCTTCTATATTAACCTTTCAGAAAGATCTTGTGTATGGGGTTAGAGATCACCATATTATTGCAATGTTTCCAATAACGATAAGTAGAGTCAACTTTGTCAATTTGATCAATGAATTTCAACTTATTCTTGTTACTCAAAATGATAGTTGGTTTGATCAAGACTAGAAAAACAATATTGATAGAGGATTCTCATTAGGATATAAGTAGAAGAACTTGTCTTCTTCATATTTAGCATCTTGCACCATCGAGAAAAAGAAAAATAAGAACAGAGTTGATTAGGATTTGATAATTAGGATTAATTATTGAAATTAATATTGATAGCTACTAAAGGACAAGATAAACATCATTCCGCAATTTGTGGACAATTGAGGGAAATGTATGGATGGGAGAACATTGTTTAAAGACTTTTGATGCACGATGAGTTACAATGGCGGATGGTTCAATTGAGACAGTAATTGAGCTCAACTCCTGAACCTATCTTGGATTTCATATACTAAAATTTAAGCAAAAAGATTATCTTATGATTTTTCCTATTCAATAAACTTTGGTGCCAACTTCATGTATAACTTTACCTTTATGTTTGTCATTGAGTAATAACTGCTTGCGATGTACTAATTCTAATTGAGTACTGACTACGATATCTGGATTTTGCGCTTAAACAAGCGTTATGTTTGCATGGCATCGTCGGCTGATGGGAATTAAGCCTATTGTGCATCCCAAGATAATGCAGTCACTGAGGTTTTTGTTATATGGAAATAAAAAGAAATGTCTCAAAGATCTTTAGCTTAGAATTCTGAAATAACGATGTTATATTCTTTGGTCTGGGTTGCTTTTGTCGGTTCTGACATAATTCTGCATGCAGGAATTTCATTCAGCTGGTCCTCTCAGGTGAGGGTAGTGGCAGGGTTTTGAAATACAACCCTGCTACCATGGAAACCACTGTTCTCATGCGGAACGTTCAATTTCCAAACGGCATTTCCTTGAGCAAGGATGGTTCCTTCTTTGTCCTTTCCGAAGGGATGATTGGAAGGTGAGTCTAATATTCAGATAACCCGTTGTCTTTTGTTTCTTTCTATATTTTAGTCTATTCCTTAGAGTCTTTCCCATATGCGAGCCATGAGTCAGCAACATCAATAGATATCTCAACTGTGTAAAGGGTACAAATCCAGTAAATCTTTCTACTTATGCTACAAATCCTTTTTCTGAAGTTCATGCTAAGGTTGTTCAGAAAATATTTTGACATTATATTTTATTCTGTAGATTACGTAAATACTGGCTAAAAGGAGTTAAAGCTGGAACTTCAGAGATTTTAGCAATCCTCCCTGGTTTTCCGGACAATGTGAGAGTTGATGGAAATGGTGACTTTTGGGTGGCTCTCCATTGTAGAAGGTATATGTACAGTTACCTGGGTGCTCTCTATCCAAAAATAAGAAAACTCATACTCAAGCTACCTATACCAACAAGGATTCAATACATGTTTTACATTGGAGGAAGGTTACATGCTGTAATTGCCAAGTATAGCCCTGAAGGTAAGCTTCTGCAGATATTGGAGGATTGCGAGGGGAAAGTCGTCAAAGCTGTAAGTGAAGTGGAGGAGAAAGACGGTAAACTATGGATGGGAAGTGTTCTAATGCCTTTTATGGCAGTTTATAACTTGACATGATCCAAAATACATTATATTCTTCAACAGAAGTCACTCAGGGCGAGTCATAGTTTACCAAGAATTCCCTGTTGAAGAAATCGCATTTTTTTTTTTCATCTCCAACTTTTTCCTTTATTTTATTACAATATCGCAGAAGTAGATCCATAAAAATAGTAGCGCTTAGGCTATGTTTGTTCAGCTTTTCTGGGAGTAAATTTGAATCCCTCTAAGACTTTTGAATGAATCCCTTTTAGTCTTTTGGTTAGCTTTATTTAATACGATAACATAACTCCAAAATATTGGATTAAGTATGATAATTTATAGGATTAGAAAAATTGCCTTGCCAAAGCTAGTTACAGCACAGATATATCGTGGTCTCACTCATACAGATAGAGAAAAAAGAAAGTGAGAACAGAAAAATATTAGTTTGCCAGGCAAGGAATATCATATTACAGTAAAGAATCATTTTATTATTGTATTTCCATTTCTTCCGTAAAATTACTTATTAAACGGGCACATGTCTAACAGAAAGATTACCTGAATAGTTACCGAAAATCTTCTCATCCCAGCAAAACAAACCACCTATGAAATTGAAGTAGCTGAATCTAAGTACATATATGCACTATATGGTATGAAGAAGTCTAGGACCCAAATTTGAACAAAAAAAGAGCAAAACAAAAATGTGGGAAAATCACACCCAAAGCAGCTGGCAACATCCCATTCAAGCAAAGATGGCCTTGACTTTTTACATTGAAGAGATTTCCACTGGATCTGCATCAAAGCATGTGCAAGCACTATGTAAATAGACATGGTGGGGAAAAAACTAAAAAGTCAGCACAAATGTGATAGGCAAATAATAATTAAGTGTAACAAATAATTTGTCCAGTTATTTATGCTGTCACCATTCCACCTAGTTAGATCCTATTGATAAGATAATTATCTAGTAAATGAGATAACGAGTTGTAATCTCACTTCATATTTTTCACTACTCGTGCAAGCCACAAAAACGTGGGCTTCTTCATTGACAAGAGGTTAATCTAGAATGTTGTCCAAAGGTTTCAAGCATCCAGCATGCTGCTTCTAGTAATTTTCCTGGAAGTGACGTTTCATGAAATCAGTAACAAAGTATGACCGGCAAATATAATAATCCAAACCTTAGATAAACAATTCCTTTATTTAGATTAGCATGTGAAAAGAGATGTATAACTTATCACCAAAAAGAGAATCAATCATGTGACAACAGAATTTACATTTGATGTAGGTCGAGCTCAGACAGTCTCAAGCATTTTTTGCTTAAAAGGAAAGATATGAATGTATACATGGTCATAGCACATGACATTGACTTGACTGGAAAGATTTAAAAGCTAGGGAAGCTAATTTTATCGACCTTCCACATATACTATTTGGTAGGCCTTAACCTTTATCAGCACCAGCTACGTTTTGCTCTACTCTAAAAAAAGTCACATCAAAGGCGAGTCAGAAAACTCTAACACTACCCATTCACTAACCCCGCTACTGGGTTTCTCAACCCCTTTTTCTTGTTTAAAGTCAAGACCAAAAAACAAACCTAATTTCTTTTAAAAGACTTCGGTTTCACCATTCGGAAAATTTACCACGCAAATGTAGATATCTAACAATGGAAAAACGGCAAAAACAAAAAAGTTTGGCGCAGTATGGATAGTAACAACAAGCAAATAATACAGTCTTCCATCATAACGTGAAGAAGTATTCCCAGTCGCTGCATTTGTCTGACATAGAATTTTGGTGGGTGTATGCAAAAAAAAAAAAATTAATAGTATTGATTTATTCATGGATATTTTTATTCTAATAACAAATAAGTAGTAAAACTCGGTTCTTTTAATTCTATACCTAAATTTATGTTTGTGTTTCCATTCAAATTGTTGTATGCACTTCAAACACATAGTTAACAAGGGAGAATCTTTAGCAAAGATAAATCAGTTACCCAAAATCATATTAGCTGCAACTAAATCGTGGTTCTAAATGATATCTAACGTGAATTCAATCATATTGGCTGGAACCAAACATATAATCACCAACCCTAGACCAAATACCCAATTGAAGATATCCTAGACAGACCCATCTTCATTTTGTTTTGCTGCCCCTAAAAAAACCAAGCTCATATGGAACACATTTCAGCTCTTGCAGTCCCACTACAACCCACAAGGCCAAAACTAATCCCAAGTCATAACTTCAACGACCTGACCCAATCAACAGGGTTAACCAAAAGCCAGCCACACAATAAAGGAAAACCCTTTTAAAAGAAAAACAAAAAATAATGAAATCCAGCCAGCCAAACACATCACTATCACGTCTTCCCTTTTTTCTAATCCAGAGAAAAGCACAAGAAAAAACAACGAAGGAATTGTAAACCGTACCTCTTCTGTGCTTGACAACAACTTTTGCAGCGGATTGACCCGTCCGAGTAACGGGTTTAACCCGCTCCGTCTCCTCCTCCTCCATCGGAAACAAAGCATTATCAATCCCCTGAACCGAGATCCGACCATCCGTGTAAATATCCGGGTCAAACAAATACGCCGACCCGTCCCCGTGCCCGAATTTAACGGACCCGTCAGCCTCCTGCGCCACCACCTTATGCGGCAACCGTAGAGTATCGTAACGAACCTTCCCGAACCTTCGAACCGCATTATACATGCTCTCTTCGGTCTGGTACTCCGGTATAATGTGATAGTACATTATCTGCTCCGGTGCACCCGGTTCACTCAACTGCTCAGTCGTTAACTTCGCCATCGCTTCATCGTTCGGAGCCAAAACGGTGAGAATGTAACCCTCAGAAACTAACCGACCCATTTCAACGGCCAACGACGTTAGATTCACGAGAATATCTGCCATTTCGTTGTATCCTCCGTAGTGGAGTAGACTGTGGATGAAATCCTTCACCTGCTTCTCGCCGTTGAAGTGGTGGTGCGGTCCGCCTGGCCCCGGGGCCGGCGCCGGCGCCAGTGATGGTCCCGGGCTCATGGCGTCGTAGATCGGAAGCGCGGGTGGGGAGCCAGGTTTCGCCGGCGGTGGAGGTTTCTTGAGACGGTGGGTTCTCGGGTCGACCTCCGGAGCTCCTTCGGGTTTGACGGCGGAGATGGAGCGGAGGGTGCGACGGCGGTTGAAGTCGTCCTCGACGGAGAGGGGGAGGAGAAGGCGGTCGATGCCGTGGATAACGCCGTCGGGTCGGGTGAGGACATCCGGGTGGGTGACGCGGGCCACGTCGACGGTTGTGAGATTCTTGGAGAGACGGAACTGGTGGTTGGAGAGAGTGGTAACGTGGCGGACTAGGGTTTTGGATCCGATTTGGGTGGGGATGATGTGAGAGAGGAGAAGCGTTTGGAGGGAGTGCAGATTGGCAGGTTCAAGAAGGAAGCGTTTGAAATCAGGGTCGAGGTTGCGGTCCAAAGCTTCGTTGGTCGGAGCGAAGATTGTTATGTTGTGTGTCGCCACGGTGTCTTCTAGTTTCTGTAACAGCATAGCTTTTTCCACCAGCTCCGCGAGTTCCGTATAATGCGAGTCCAGAAGTGCAACTAAGATTGAGTTGGAGTTAATCTGCCCCGTCGTCGGTGACGAGGGAGAAGACACCCGCAACGTTAATGCTTGAGGGAAAACACAGAGTATGAAGAGAAGAGTGTAGAAGATGAGGAGGTTGGAGGCGCCACTGATGCCGCGATCCATGGCGAGAATGCGGCGGAGAGGAACCCAACCACCACTTCACTTGGTGACTACTTCTGATACAACAATACTTGGTTTGTTTTGGTCCGGTGGATAAACAACGAGAATAATGACATGTAGGCTAATTATCTAACGTGTGCTTGGTTGAGATGAGTTTAAAAGTTGTTAGGTCTTTAATCTGGTGGCTTCATTCTTGTTCATGTGTCTGTGAGCTAGAATTTGTTTTTTTACCGGAGGGAGTGAAATTGGAATCGGAGAGTTGGCCGCAGAATTTAGCGCATAGCTAATTAACGCAAGTGAATGTGTCGGTTGCATCGGGGAAAGGGTAGAGACGTGGCGAGTTTTTATTGGTTGAAATGAAGAATCGGACACCCTAAGAGTGGGGTCCGCTAGCCAGCTGGAGCATTGACGATAAACAGTGTAATTGGAAATTATACGAGGGAGGGAGTACGATAACCCTTCATTCACTTTTTGGTGTGTTTGACGGGGTGAGATATCTTCTTAAATTCCAAGACGTCTCCGATACGATCTCATAATAGATTTTTTTCTTGTTTTTTTTTTTTCATTAGAAATTAGAGAGTCCTAGTCCTCGTAGACTAAAATTCATTTTTAGCATATTATTTATTTTGTGTTTTATCATAAAAGGAATCATGGTAAATTAAGAAATAGAGTATATAAATTATATAACATATGTCTTTATACCAGGTGTGAATGGAATAACAATATTTTTTATAAAAATAACATATTTATTATATCATATTATTATTAAAATTAATTTTCATATATAATTATTATCCATCATAATTTTATTTTTATAAAATATTTAGATAGATTATGAAAAATTAATATATATTTTTTTCAAGATATATTTTAAAATAAAATTATAATAAATTTTAAAATAAATAATATCTTAAATATAATTGATGTAACTATTTATATTAAATTATTAGATATTTTTAATTTATAATGTTCTTTTCTATAATTTTTAAGTTTAATATAAAATATATGTGATCTTGCTAACACTGACATAATCTAGTTTGACAATGACGTAGCACATTTATATCTAACTTTATATTTTATTAACCTATTAATTATATTTACGTACGAGCATGACATATACTTAATAACTTAAATATGGTCGATAGAAATGACAATATTAAAATAGTTTAAAAATAATAAAATTAAATTAACACAATAAAATAATAAAAAAATAGTAATTATAAATAACCACGAAGGAGTGAATCATTTAAATAGTTATTAATTAATATATTAAGAATAAGTAATTTATAATGAATTATAAAATTATTAATTATATTCTCAATATATAACAAATGTACAAGATATTTACTTAAAAATGAGTATTTATGCTGTTTTTTAGTTAAAGGGTGGAAAGGAGAGGAGTAACAAAAGAAAATTCAAAAAAAGAAATATAATTATTTTACTTGTATTATTTATATATTAATAACTTTATTTATTTATTATATTGAAATTTTTTAAAATTTTAAAAATAAATAATATAGTCTCTTTGTAATATCACAAAACAAGTTCTTTCATCTCATTCTTTCATGGAAAAGATTTCCAATGTCCCTAACATGCAATGTTGCAATGTATTATTGTCCTTATGCAACAACCATAATGTACAAATTCTTATTTTCATGTATCATGATAGTAACTAATAACCTATCTAAAATGAGTTATTCTGTAAGAATAAAAGTAATATCTTATCATAGATTTTACACATAAATTAATTAAAATTAGAGAAATAATCATGACTAATTTTAAGTCACTCACATGTAAAATTTATGATAAAATATTCATTTTATTTTTATGACAATTTTTTTTAAAATTATTATAACTACATATCTACAAAAAAGAAATAAATATAATTAATTATACTAAACAATTAACAAATTATGATATTGATTCTTACTCTAGTGTAAATTTAATTATTTTCATCAATAATAAATATGTATACATTATCATTATTTTTTTTAAATAATAAAAAAGTATTTATTATTATTAGAATGTAAAATTAAAAAAATATAATTTTTTCTTTACGATGAAGTCAAAATTTATTTAAAAATATTATATTATATTTAAATATAATAATAGTATAGTATTTTTTTATTTTTAATGTAGTTATCATTTTACATTTAATAAATTCTTTTATTATATTTACATTTTTTTTTCAATTTTTATGTGAACAAAGTACATGATTTTTAATTAATTATTAAAATAAATTTAATTTATATTTAACTATTTTTTATTTTTAATTCAATTGTATTTTAATATGTTTTTATTCTTTTAAATATATTTCTTTGTCATTTTATTTTTATTTTATTTATCTTAATTTAAATGAATTTATATTTTCTATTGTTTTCCTATTTGTTATTCTCTCAGAATTCAAGTAAAGATTGAAAAGTTTGGTGGGAGAGTTGTTAATGTCAGTTAATGTTGGTGGTGCCCACAGCATTGGGTACTCTTACCAAATCATCGTACATGTTTTTTTTTTTTTTTCTAATAATACAATTTATTTGACACTTTCTTCTTTTCCATCACCTCTTTTTGTGCCCATATCACAGTTTTCAGTTTGGTTTAACTAAGTTGAACGGAGGAGATCTGAAGTTGAAAATAATTGAAAAAATAAAATAAAGATATTTTTTTATTTAAGGAAGTTTTTAAATAAGAGAATAGTACATCTCATAATAAATAATAAAATAAGATTTATTATTTATATATATTTAAATAAAAAATAAATTTATTCTAATTCACAAAGACTTAGTTATAGAAGATAAATTTAAATTAATTACGCGTTTAGTCTGTCCCATATTCTTTAAAATGGGTCACCAAAGCATCAAGTTTCATCCTTTTATCGTTTACATGATATAAATTTATATCCAATATATTATAAATGGTAATATAACTTTTAGTAAAATTAATATTTTATTTTGATAATTAATATTACTAATTAAAAAATATTTCTTTAATACAAATTATTGAACTAAAACAATAAAATAAAATTGAATAAGAACACTAGTCATTCTCATGGCATGAGTTTTATCATAATACAAAATGTAATTGAGAAAATCATTAACTATTTAATTGGATTATGTTATTTCTATTATGCATGACCCTTGATCAAATTTACTTCATACGTTTTAACTCTCTTGTGCCTCACACCAACTGATGTTGATACATTGATAACTTTTTTTTAAATAAGATATAAATAAAGTAAACATTTTTTTATTTTTTATATAAATAAAATAAATGTTATTAAATTTGCATGAAAAATATACATAATTAAAGTTATTTCTCTTAAATTAATAAATATTTGATAAAATATATTAATAGTAAATTTTTCATTGTTGGTATATATTTTTAAAACATAATTGTAAATGTAAGATATGTTAAATTAATCTACATTATCAACATATATGAATTAATTTAATTTAATATAAATAATACATATGAAAAAATAACAAGGGAAAAAAATAAAAATTGCAGTAGATGAAAGTGCAAAATAATACATAAAATGTGGGGTGGAGAAATCAAATGATAGTATAAGATTTAAAAGAAAAGTGGAAGAGATTGGATTGAGAAATGTGAAATGAAAGTCATAGATTCCAAGTTCCAACCTCTCTTACATTTTCTTCAAGTGAAAACAAATAAAATGGACTATTTTAGTTATGACTTACTTCATTCCTTGTTTTTTTAATAAGAAATATTTTAAAATTCAATTTCATTCCAACTTATATTGTTTTGAAAAAAATGATTTTTAAAACACTAACTTTATTAGAAATTTATTCATATTTTAGTATTAAAATGCAAAAGATTTATTCATATTCCTAATATTTTGAAATTTATTTGTTTTAGGAATTTTTTTATTAAAATTACCTAGATTCCTTTAAAAAAGCATATTTTTTTAGCGAAACAAAATTTATAAAGTTTGATTTATATATCTATTATATCTAGGATACAATTTTATTATAAAAAATTATTTTTAGTATAATTATAATATTTTGATTGATGTTTATATAATATTAATTATTTCATTAATTTTATTAAAAATAATTAATTTTATATAAAGTGAACAATGATATATATTATGATATAATATGATTTTAATTATAAAAAAGTTTATAAAAAATAATACCTAATCATAAATAGGTAATTTATAATTAGTGGGTTCACAAAATTATATAATAAATAATTTTTACAAATATTATTATGTAATACTTAAATCTACATTTTATTAATATAATATCAAATTAATTATTTTTATAATATGATAATAAAAAATTTAATTAAATAATTAATAATATATAATAAATAGATGATTTTTTAATTATAAAGTAATTAATAATGTTATTATTATTATATAAAATATGTTTTATAATTGTATTTAATATAATAACTAAACAATTATTAATATTTTTATTTAGTAAAATTGCAACAACTATTTTTGCTAGGTTTGATGCACTCTTGCTTCCACTGACACATGTCACTGTCCTTTATCGTGTTTTTCCATCCAAAACTGTCTGCGACATTGTATATAACTTATTTTAATATTTTTATTTGAAAGAGTAAATGAAAATCATGTTTGAAAATTAAACTAAAAATAAAATAACTGATTATAATATTATTTAATTGAATATCATGCTGTATAATAATTGTTTGAATGATTAAAAATTATAAATAATTAATTTAATCCTCCGTAAAATAAAAAATATAATATTACCTTGTCTTCCTTTTCCTCGACGTATTTTTCATCATATATTTTATGAAAATATTAAAGTTATATTTATCATAATTTTTTATTAATTAATAATATAAAAAATGAATAGAGTCAAATTTCATTTAAATTTTGATACATCTTTGTTATTACAACATTGTATATAGTGGTACCACACACCATTAAAAAGGTTCTTAGTGTAGATAATAATTATGCTTAATTAATTAATCAACAATATATAATTAAACATCTGAAAATTACAGTAACAATATAACAAAATTAAATGTAAACACTATTATAAATAATGATATATTTTGTCCTGCTCTCCTTCTTGATTTATTCATTGCACGTTTAAATATGGTATTTTGAATGACTTTAGTTGTCTAGAAAATGACATTATGAATAATGAATGTATTCATAACCACATGTAGGATTAAATTGATTTCACTGATTTTTTAGAAAATATGATAGGAAAACTTATGTAAATAATCATCAATGTTTTAATTTTGAACCCTTAAAATTCAGTGACTTATCAACAATGACTTTACCTTTATTAGAAATTATATTTTATTAAAAAAGAAGATGAAGAGATAACCTGAATTAAAGTTTTTATATAAATTATAATTAATTTACCTAACTCACATTTTTTGGGAGGGTGAGAAATATTTTAGAAAATTTATAAAAATGTAACTAGGTTACATAATTACATAGTTCGAAAATTTATAAGATAAAACTATGTTGAGAGCAATTATAATACGCTTTTAAAACCAAATAAAGCATAATTTTTTATTTTGGATGATAAAAATTTGTTTCAATTATTATAAATAAAAAGATGTTTATTTTCTCCCGAATTATTTCTCAAGAAAACGTAAATATAACGGTTTATATCAAAATAAAATCTTAAAACTTAATAAATTTGAAGATTTAAGAAATTATATGGTAAAGATATCTTTGAAATACCTACGCGGTACACATATTTGATAAAAAATGTTTTTAATAAATTAAAAAATCACTCATTTTTTTTTATTATTCCTACTTTTTAACTGGTAATGTTTTGTTCCATCTACACTCTACTATATCTTGTCATTTCTAAAACCAACTCTTACTTGTTTTAATTTTGTGACAGCATATATCCCGACCTTTAATTTAATTGTTTTAATGGATTTTTAGTCCAAATTAACCTTCTCTTCTCCTTTTATCTTATCCAAATATTCCCTTTGATTAAAAGAGTTCATAAATTTCTAAGAAAAAACAAAACCATGGACAATAAGCAACAATAATCCAACCAAGAACTTTACAACACCATCATTTGTAGGAATGCTCTCCATACGAAATGAGATCGAGGTCTAAACAGTTAATGTCAAACTTAAACGAGTTGAGATACGACGAGGGAAAGGAATAAGTAACAATGACTTGAGTTGGGTCACTGAAGAAAAGTAGAACTACAAGAGAGCACAAAAAGATGGTAAAGATAAAAATTTAGAAGGTTAAGACACAATCGGATGAAGTAATAAAAAAAGAGAGAGACTATTTCAATCTTTAAAAATAAATTAAAACAACTGTAACTTAAACGCCATTAAATGAATGGAAGCCCAAAATAATACACAGAGAAATTGTGTGTACTATGAACAAAAAATTAGTATAATTTACCAACTTAATTTAGGTAAACAATTATCACATCTGTATAAATCTTTTTATAATAAAAAACATTTTTCATATAGATTACAAACTACTTTCTTAAAGTTATACAGTATATTTGAATAGTAGAGACTGAAAAAATAATTACTAATATATTATAAATTGCTTTGAAATTCTTCGCAATACTTCTACAAATACTAATAAGATGGTAAAAATAATCTACACTACCTGTGTTTATATTTTTTTATAAATTATAAGATTGTTGATTTAGGATCTATCTCAAAAAAAGGAATTCTTTTTTGTTAAATTAAAATTAACTATATCATAAAAACTCTATAATTTTTTTTAATATAAATATTTATGAACTAATTTTAATTCATGAAAAAATTAGTTCACTCCATTATTTTTATTTTATACAATAAAAAATAAAACCATAAACATAATGATTTCATTATTTGAAAATATAAAATGCATATTGATCTTAGTCATTAAAGATAATAAATAACCATAAAAGAACTTCCGGAACACAACGAATAAGATGCTTGGAAGACACATACAGTGATAATTATAAGAAAGCAAGAGATAGTCGAGTGAGGTAGAACGCAGAAAGACAAAACAAAAATTTTAAATAGTGGTTTTGAGCACCGCTCTGCGAAGTGCGAATAAGGAGAGCGAGTGAAAGAATGAGAAGGTTGTAGAGATTGAGGTTAATTTGGATGAGAAACTGGGTTTTTGCGTCATGGTTCTCAAAATCCGATCCACCTGAAAAGCTTCAACAAACACGTCCAAACCAGTAAAAAATGCAACAAACAAGTCCTCCAGATTATGGAAGCAAGTTTGACAACAGTGGTGTAAAGTGAACTCTACTGGATCGTGTTTCACAATCAAACTGAAATTTCAGAGAATGACTTACTGCCCCAATTATCGTTAAGTTTGGGAACAAAGATCTATTTCTATAAGTAGAAGACACAGTACTTTATGTAAAGATTATCTGAGAAATATCTATAAATAAGTTTACAATGTGCATATACAATCATATATAGGTTCCTAAGTTTCAAACGAAAGAGACCACTGCAACCTTTTCAAGTTTTTTATTTCCAATATCACAATTGTTGGTCTTCTTTTGCAGGCCAATGGATTATCACTTGCCTGGCCTGCGCCAGCCAATAGGCAATGCATCACATCCATGGAATTTCACATCCCCAATGGGTAATCCTATTTCTACCTGATACCATAGAAAAATCCATCAGAACGACATTCTTAACAACACTCAATCGGGTAAACAAACAGTGCATGCAACAATTTTATTTATTATATAATTAAAACTAATGAAGACAGAGAGGATTCGCTTCCACAAAAATGGATCAAGTAACATGCTTCGTTAATTAAAATTCATATCTAGCTTCGTTCTGAAACATTTATACGAAGGTATTTTATTCAACAGCAAAATCATATGGGTTGGTTAAGACAACAAAAATTGTTATAGGAGAGCATGCAGACAAGGATTAAAATAGATAAAGCCAACAAGAAATACAGGTAAAATCTATGACGAATGTGTGGAACTGTGATTACATTACAAAAGGAAATAGTTCTGATGAGGTTGTAATCAGAACGCGTAGGTTCTTCGGTATTTCACATTAAATAACAAATTGTAGTATAATTAAAATTTTACCTTTTAGACAAAACAAATTTTAGAGTTCATGCAACTCCTTCTATTTTGCTTAATTCGAACTAGAACCTGCAGCACAAGAAGCTTTTGTGTTATTGTCTCCCAAAAGACCGCCCCTTTCAGTGCCAGTTGAACGCTGATCATTAGGTCCTTGAACTGATCCATCCTCTAAATTACTTGGAGCTGAATTGCTATTGCTTCTATTACTGTCTCTGGTCTCCAGACGTTCCATCATGCGCGATACAGTTGCAATCCCTGCATTAACTTCTCGCCTAACATCAGATCCAATATCAGACATAGCATTGTTACGAGAGAACCATCTCTCCTTCCAACCTTTTGTGCTCTTGGAAATTGACTCCTTGTATCTGAAAGACGAGAAAAAATATTTGTTGTAATGGGATAATTCCTTAAATATACTGCACTCCACCCACATGCAACATAGGATAGTCCACTACCTTGTTGACACAGCATTCAGTTTAGATTTCAGAGACTCTGAAAATGACTGGAATTCTGATGGCCCTGCTCTGTCTTGACTACTTGGAGATGACTGATTAGGAGATCTCCTATATGATGTTTCATTCGTAACAGTTCAGAACTTCTAAATGTAGAATACTAGGCCATTATGAATTTATAAACATTTATAAAAGATCTAGAAATTCAAAACCGAAAATGAAAATGACCTATTGTTGTAAGATGATCCCTGATGATCTGTAGCAAGAGCAGTAGATCCAGATCCTGAAGCAGAAACCTGCTCAGCTTGAATAGGAGCAACTAAAGTCAGTTGTGATGATTCTTCTCCAGTTGCAGGAGTTGGAGACAGATTGGTAACAGCAATTGTAGGAGTTGGTTCATCATCTCCCCTCTGAGATGGAGAGGAAGAAGTAGGAGCCATGGGAGGTGAATTAGGGTGAGTTGAAAAAACTAAAAAATGTGGGCGACCTTGTGCCGATGACCTGTTTCTCTGACCTTCTCTTCTAGCAATATGGCGTGCCCTTCCCATTGCAGCTGCAGCAGCTAAGTGTTGAATGATTCGCTCTTCAAGATCAGCATCACTAGCTCCAACTGGCAACTGCATGACAACTTAAAAATCACATAATGCATGATAACAGTTTAAAATACTTCCAATCTAGCATAAGTAGTCGACAAACATGCTGTAATTCGAAATCCCCCAGTGTTGGATGATGAAATATTGTGGCATTCCTAGGTGGATTGATCCTAAAGTTTCGCTCTCTTTCCACTGCCTCAAGTAATTCTTGGCTGCAAATACAAAACCAAAGAAGCACGTAACTAAATCTTAAATTATCACAAGAGCAGACGAATAGCATAAACAAGAATAAAGAACATCGAGAAAACAACAAACCTTGTTGGATCTTTGAGACTGATAGGTTGCCAACACATGGGGCACTGGGAGCTTCTTTGACACCTGAAAGATAAAGTTAGAATTGAATACAAAGCCTTCTTCCAAAGATTGTTAAGTGATTGGGACAACAATTGATTGTGGCTGCAGGCACAGAATTAGCCAATGCTTTTTCCCTTCATACCAACATTTCTTTTTCTCCAGGACAAGTTCATGATATTGAAGAATAAACCACAAGACAAGGACAAAATATGAAAATATGTGTGTAACATATTTGTGAGCCACAACAGGAGCATGTTAACAAATAAATGTATCTACAGACTTTAAAAATCAGAGTATCAATAATCAACAGTAAAAAACAAGTGCAACTTTTACTCATCAAACACAGACTGGATGACTGTGCAAAACATTTCGTTCGTTTCGCAGAAAATTTCACTTGGACAGCGATCTAGAATTGACAAAGTAGCTGAGCAAATGTATATGGAAAAGGGGCCAATATATGAGTAACAACTGTATGATGCTTGGAAATTTTATTCTTGAACGGTATCAATAAGTTCTTGCTATTACCTGGACACTGTTAAAAGTAATCAAAATGTAAACTAGTCAAGTTCTGGACCTACTGATTTATAGTTTACAAAATTTGTTGAGTATGGCACCTGATATTCCAAGAACCTTGAATAACTAAAGATAAATACAGTGCCTCAGATAATGAGGATATAATGACTTCAAGGAACCATATGTCATTGGTTGACATAGACCTAGAGAACCATTGGCATTGACATACTCGAGCAGCTGAAATTTTCATGCCTGCCCAACGGCGAATGCTTCAATCCAACTTCAAAGAAATAACTATAACATCAATCCCACACATTAAATTCAAGATACTTTCTCTTTCAGCTGATAATGAAAGCTTATTTTTAATTAGGCACCAAATGCATGTTTTCCTTCCAAATCATTACAAAAACACAATCACAAAAATACGCTATGACGAACCCCTTCTTCAAGTACATAAGCAGAAGATACAGCCGAATCAATTCCTTACTTTAAGAAACCACATCAGTGGCCAAGAAACATCGCAGCAGCTTTAACAGTAGCAGTACACAGCAATAATAATAATAATAATAATAATCATAATAATAATAATATAATAATAATAATAAGTGAGCAAACCCCCCGTCATTACCAACACAGTACAGCCCAGCCCCATCAAAAAGTCCCCATGATTGACACAAAAATATTTAATTAACGAAACCAAATAACAATACCATTCGAGAATGCACTGAAGATGAAACTCATGCTTGCAACTGGTAACCTGCAAGAAGGGTATAACAGTGGCTTGATCAATAGGGTTTACACGTAATCATCACTAATCAGTACCATAACTATTAAACTAACGGCAGACCGTGGAAGGATCACTGTCACAGAAGGCTTCAAGGCATATGCTGCAAGCATCATCACAAGCGTCCTGAATTCCACCCTCGACAAAAGCAGCGGCGGAAGTCAAATGCGCCTCAGACTTATTACTGTTATCATTGATATTATTCTCTTCCATCCCAGCACCCTACAAAACAACACCCCGCTGAAATCGACACAAACAAACAACGACGGTCGAACAAAATCCCAATCGAATCAGCAGCACACACCGCCACGCCACAAGGATCGAAACGAATCAAACAAACACTCGCAAGGAATCAGATCAAATCAAGAGTCTCGCAAGAGACAGATTCCCAAAAGAAAGCGACAAGAAGTGGAAAAAAAAAAAAAAAAAAAGCGACAGGAAAATTCACAGTAGACAGCGGAGTAATCGAAACTGTGTTACCTCCATGGAGAATTGCGCGGTGAAGTCGCGAAATCGAGATTCGAGACGCGATTAGAAGAAAACCCTAGCGAGCGAGAGAGAAAGAGAGAGAAGTTTTCTACGGTGTGGTGTGGTGCGGTGTGAAGTGAGTGTGTGGGTGCAGGCAAAGGGGGTTACCCATTCCTTTATGTTTTACTTTTTGGAAGAAACTAACCAACCAACCACGGAGTCAGCTAAACTTACCTTAGCTCGCTCGGTCTTCGTCCACCACTCTCTGTGCTTCCGACACGTGGCATTCCTAACGAATCTCTTTGACGAGTCTCTCACCTTACGCGTCACTCTCTTATGGGCCCCCTCATCAACATCTTTCATCCTACACATTATCTATGTACGTCCAAATAATCATCATCTTTTATTTTATTTTATTTCCCTTTCCCATTCAAATTTTCCGATAATGATATTAATCCATTTTTTATTTTCCCTTCAACTTTTAAACTAATAACTGTTTTTTTCTAAGTTGGATTAATGATAATTAATCACATTACTAGACAAAATTATCTCATAATATATGTTTTTTATTTCACTTGGTCATTGATTGGCTACATGGACCACAACATATTTACTTTACTTCTTCCCTCTAATTAGTCTAAGTCGTCTTTTACTCAGTCTAGGGTCTTGGAAATTTAGTTTTGCCCCAAATAATTTTGTTTTGACTTTTCATCCCCAAATTAATTAAATATATAAATAATTTCGCCCTCCGTTTTAATATGATGATGTAAGATAACTATTTAGTGTAATAAGTATGCGACTTTTGCTCCAAATTGAACAGGGTATCCATCATTGACAATGTCTGAAGAATTCGATCACCAAAGAACAAAACGAAAAGAAAAGGACCAAGAACCCTAAAATTTATGCTCGTGGTTGAAGATTAAGCTCACCAAAAAAATTCAGCTCGTTCTTGAAAATTCTTTAAATACGATAATTAAGATTAATTTTATTTTCAACTATTAAATGAAGAGGAGTGACTTTGGAATCATAAACAGATTTTCATCATAAAAGTTATCAGTTGAAGTAATTTGCTAAAAGTAGTTTTTAAAAGGGGTAATAGATAATTTAAACATGATATTAATGGATAAAATAATGAAAAAGGTCTATGTTTTATTAGGAAAATATAAGCCTTTGTATAGACTTAGGCAAAACAGAAATAATATTTAAAAAATATGTAAAATCTATATAACTTAAACATCAATTAACTTTTCAAAACTAAAATAAATGAAACTAAAATATAAGATGCAGACAATGAAAACATCTACTCATACTATTTTATTTTATTTTATTCAATGTAATATATTTTTAACAGTTTAACATATAAGTTCACTTAGATTTTAAGATATATGTATCAATCTAATATGTGGTTTTTTTTATAATTTATTTATTCCAAATAAAATTACAAAATTTAAGAGAATTGATAATTCAATAATTTTTGTAGCTAAAGATTTTAAAAAAAGGTCTCATTCAAAATTTATAGATTAATGTTATGCTAATCTAGCTTATTGCGTTAGACATATTAAGTCTCAATTAGTATGTATAATTAAATAATTTTTTGTAATGATGTTTACATTACACAACACATTTTTTGTCATATTATTACATTACAAATTTAAAGAGAAATTCAAGATATCTCAATTAGAAAGTTTAAATAGCATTGGAATTTGACGTCATGATTTGTTAAGTTAAATAAATAAATAAATAATTCAATTAAATTCTAAACGCTTGATATTAAGAAATCACAAAATAGTTACTATATATAATGGAAGGTACTTTAGTTTATATTTTATGAAAATGTTAGTTTAAAAGTTCAGATTCTAATAGCTAATATTGAATTACATTTGTGCAAACACATAGTTTTTTTTTTAATATATGGAAATGTCATGAGAAAAATTAGTGTATATTTTTTATTAATAGATTAGTACTAAATCATTTTTAAATTCTATATTGAGTAAAAAGTTGAGAAAATTTTCATAAAAAAAATTAAGTACTAAATGAGATAAACAATTCAAACTCAAACTTTTAATTAAACTTGGTTAAAAAAAAAGTTTAAACTGTCAACTGTATTTACAAATTAAACTCGATTCAACTCGTAACATTCCTAATTTGAACAAATCCTTTAGATTTGACCTTGGTGTTGTGGTGATAGTTTTATATTATATTCTCTAATAGTTTTTGCAAGCATCTTTTAATTTGTAAGGTGGTAAAAGTTGGAGTGTTTTTGTATTGCTAGTACACTGAAGGTAATGTGCTCCAATGTTTTGCATGATAGAAGGCTTTAGATTTTATGAATCCTTGGAATTTGGCAACTTGTATAAGCAATTGTACAGGCTTCTCAAGCACAATGTTCCTCAGTTGGCAACAAAGCCAAACAAGATTAGTGTAGCCTTGTTGGATGGACCAAAAAATGTTTTAGTCTCATGATTTTGATTACGTCAAGCCAAAATATGTTATGGTCTTTGGAAATTGGATGAAATGTAGTCATGATTGAATCATGAAAACAATTGCATCATTCAGTCTACATAATATGCATGAGTGAAATCACACAATGGTTTCTTTTAAAACAGAGAAAGTGTTAAGAGTTGGAACAGAAAAAACCAGGTTATAATAGTGCGTTTGAGTCACATATTTGTTTATTAGTACAACATTAATCTAAGGCACTCATTTCACCACAAATTCAACATGGCAATGTCTGACACAGACCAAAGGCCCATATGTATGAATGGGAGCTTTATTCTACTTACCTGTTCGGAATACACAACTACAAGGAATACATGTTAAACCATTCCAAATTTTTCTTCAGAAATTCGTGAAAGAGATTCGGAACGTTATCGGAATAATGCAGAGGCTGATACAATAAAAACATGGAGAAATAAATAAATAAATCTTTTCTACACCCAGAATATTCATTAATTATGCACACAAAAGAATGCGCGTCCACGTCACGCACCAAAATTACTGCGACACGTGTATGCATATATCATTGGACATGACAATGGCATTCCCCTATTTGTTGCTCTTCGTGGCGCTGAGAAGCGCTTCTCCAGAAGCCCGTTCCGTGGAACTGGGCCCACATCTCCTCTTCCAGATGGTTGGCCTCCAACATGTCTTCCTCCTCGTCTTGTGATAGCTGCTCCTCCAGCATGGGCCCGGGCCCATAAACATAATCGGGCCCGTGATCCAAGAGGCCCTTGGTTTTCTTCTTCAGGTGGCGTCGCTTCCTGGCCTTCCTGACGAGCCCGGCGGGGACTTTGTAGGCGGCGAGGACCACCACATCCATGACCGTGCAGGGGACACAGCAGCACACAGCGGCGCAATCCGCCGTGATATTGCCCGCGACCTCCCCTACGCGGCGGCGCTCCAGGCCGCGCGTGACGGGTGGGGAGCGGCGCAGGACCTTCTGCTGGCTAGCCATGGGGAGGGGCGGGAGAGAGTGCAAAAAGTGAGAGATCATTCCTCCATTGTTAAGAAGGAGAGGAAAAAGAGAGGAAGGGACTGAAATGTGTGGTGGAATTGAAATGGATGGGGGAGCTTAATTGAAGGGAAGGGGAAACTTGTCAGAAACAAACAGAAAAACAATTAGGGTTTATAATTACTTATGATGCTCTATATATGCTGTTTTTACTATTTTTCCTTTTTCCCATTTTTTTATATCTATTTACTGTTATTTTTAGTTTAAAGGCTCTTTTATTTATTTATTTTATATATTTTTTAAATTTTATATTTAAAATTATTCATTTTTTATTTATATATATTTAATATCTTTAATTTTGTAATATCTTTTAGTCATTATCTATAAATATCAAATTAAAATTAAATTACCATAAAAAAGTTATATAATGATTAAATAATTAAAGAAAATTTCTTAAAAAATATATAAAAATTACTTTAGACTATTAACATATATTTAATTTTTAGTATTTGCTTTGTAAGTCACTCTTTATTGTTAATTAGATTTATTTTAAGATTATCCAATTACGAGAAAAAAATTATAGAATAATAACTAAAATCATAAAAAAATAATGTTTATTTATAATTAATTTAAAACTTTAATTAGTTGAATGTATAATTTATACTACAAGAACAATATATAATTTTGATTTGTTGCCTTCCAAAACACGAAGAGCCTTATCTTATTATTGTCAATCTTATTTTATTCTATTGCTACCCCTTTATACATGTAAAATGGTATAATGGTACGATTGTGAAGTATTAATACTTTAAACTTAAAAGGCTTTTGCTTAGGAGGAAGTGTTTTAGATATAATATTAAGTCATTTTCAATTTTTTTCCTAATCCTATAAACTTTTCAATGAGGCGAAGCTTTAAATTAATGATTGTAATAAACATTGTATTACTTATACAAAACATTTTAACAGTTACGAGATATATGAAAGTTTATTTAATTTGTGGAAGTCACCTAATACATGGGAAAAAAATCATAAATTTTTAGGAAATCAATATATTCAAATAGATGATTAATTAATACAAATAAATCAATAATATTTTATATTTACGTCATTAGTAACTTTCTATAAACACAAAATTGAACCATCTTACAATTAAATTATTTAACACTTTTTTTAGATAACGCACATCAAACTTCACATAATATAAACACTTGTCGGTATATATTATTCATCAACAAACATTAAATCCATATTTAAATAACAAACTGCAATTAAAATAAAATCATACAACAAAGTACCAATCTTTTTTTAATGAAATATAATAGACTTAATTACATACATTAAATCTAAAAGGATAAAAAAAGTTAGTTGTGTTTAACATGTTTTTTCTTTTTTTCCTCCTTTCTACTTTATATTTTCTACACTCTCTTGCAATTTTAATTTCTCGTGATTCCACCTTGACTGAAAATCGTTTTTAACTTATGTGATAAATGATTAATATTTTGTATTTATTACATGAAAATTACACTAAAATTATATAAAAGGCTCGTACGGCTTAATTTCAAATGATTTTTTAAATCTAAAACTGAGTTTTGGAAGACCTAATTGAAATGCATTTTTTGATTAATTATTTCAAAAATATATTCGGGAGTGTATTTTTATATTGACTATTTTGGAAAAGTATTTTATAAATGTTCACATGTTTTAATTTTTTCTTTTTGTGCAGTGTAATTTTCATTACGATCAGAACCAGGAGAAGTAGTTCTCAACCCACGTATCATGTTGGCCCAATTGCCTTTGTAAGGCGTAGATCTCGTGGGAAAATAATTGTTAATAATGAATACAAATATAATGTGAAAAAGAATGTTGTACATGAGGAACATATTGTAGATAAACAATATAAAAAAACCCTGTAAATGATTATTTTTTTCTAAAAAGGGCCTAAAATACTTCATTATTAAATTGATATGAAAAACATATGTCCATAATATGCGGGAGGGAATGATAAGTGTCTTTCACGTCGTATAAGTTAGTGTATATAAATATTAATGTTATAAAATTTAAACATAATTATAGGATCGTGACGAGTTAAAATGTGTTTCCTATAATAGAAAAATGAATAAGTTGGAGGTTCTACATCTGCGAATTACAACTGCAATTCAGTTGTTTGGGTTGACAACAATTGTAGGTATTATTTAATACATTGTAGATAAGAGAATATTATTTGTTTTTATCGAGAGATATAACAACTTTCATATACCCACCATAGGTGAAATGAACATCAAACTAGATGATGTGTCCTTGTTATTTCACCTGCCAATTGTTGGTCGATTTAGTAATTATATGCACTTAGAAACATGCAAAGTTGTAGAGGTATTGACAGATAGAGTTGTCAAAATGGATAACACAACTCGGTCCGACTTGACCTTACGCGCCAACCTACTTATATTTTAATACATACACATATTTTTAGTTTAAGTTAGCTCTATATTAGGCTAATGGTCAAACAAAATAATTTTGGCCCTGGTTGATTTTTTTTTCCAAATATTAACATATCTATATAAAATAAATTAATTAAAAATATTATAAATTTTTTTTTTTTTTGAAAATTTAAATTTTATAAATTAAATTAGTTTTTATTTAAGATGTTATGATTTAATATATAAATTATATGAGAATATATTCATTCAATCTTAAAAGAAAAATTAAAAATTTATTTTTTATTATCATTATTTATTATTTACTAATTTATTATTACTTTTTTTTGTATTTAAAAATATTATTATTCTGCTGATCCATAAACCTACAAACTAGCTTTACCTAAGTCAAGTATAGGTCATAACTTAAATAGATCGGGCTAATATAGACCTAATTCAATTTAGACCGCAAATTTTTTTGTCTAACATGATATATTTCTCAAACCTTTCGGCCGACCCTATGCCTATTTTGACACCCTTGGTAAAGTTCTTAGGAGTTAATTTTGCAATGACTTTTACAAAGACAAGATATTATAGAGATGTGCATATTCATCTTCGTTGGTTACGTAAATTGTACGAGAATGTTTATACACATAATCGATAAAAAATTACAACTCAAATGCATCTTGTCTGTATACAAATATTGAACCCACAAATCCATAATGTATTTTTAAAAAATAAAATCCGAAAATATATTCCAAACTTACCATTTTGGAATATATTTTTGAAAAATCATATTTAAAAATATTGTTGCATTAGAAATACTTTACGTGGTAAAAAAATTGAATAATAGTTTGAGGATCTTTAATTAATAACAATAATTAAAAGAAGAATGTAAATTTTTAGGATTTAAAAAATCATATATTCAAAAGTTTAAAAATAAAAAATAAATATTTAAAAAGATGAAAATAAATATAAAAATAAAATAAAATTTATTTTAATTATGATGATCCATAAAAAAAATTATAATTATTATATGTCAGATGTTATAAATGGCCCAATAATTTGCTGCTTGTAAAAAAGTAAGTTTTATCAAACAGTAATTATAAATACAAGCTATTTTGTATGATAATTAGTATGATGGTTAATATATATAATTTTTTTAGGAATTAATATATATTTCCAATAAAATTTAAAAGATTTTTTTAATCATAGTCGATGTCAGTTCCCTTAACTCTACCCCGATTTTTTGAGATTTTTTAATCTTAGAATATCTAATCTTTCTAATATTCAATCTGTGTTGTTATTTGCATTATTTAAGTTATCATTATTCTTTACTTGAGTTATGAGTTTGAAAATAGCAGGAATATAAATTCGTAATTGTTAGTGGAAAATCGTTAAAAGGATCGAAAAACGAAGGAAAGAAAAAATCGAGGATCATATGATTGGTTAAAAAACTGATAAAATTGGTAAAAGACACCTGGTGACCACAAAGATAAAAACACATCGAAAATCAAAATCGAGAATCGAAGAAACAAATTTCAATGTCTATTGTTGAAGAAAATCGAGAGATTAGAATAGTGCAAAGTTAAGAATTAAAGGGAATCAAAAGCAAAATTCAAAATACTCGATGTCGGAAATCGAGATCAAGGGAGCAGTTAACACATACAGGGGACATGGGAAACAGTTCCAAAACCGTGGCTCAGATCGAAGATCAAGGGAGCAGTTCTCTTATGCATGAGAACATGGAATGCAGTTTTTAACTGTAAGACTGAAGGTACGTGCACGTAGGATCGTGGTGACAGTTTTATTAACCACTCTTAGGAGGTTACTTGAAGGATGCTCTATAAATAGAGCGAAGACTGGAAAAAGAAGGGGGAATTGGCAGAGAGAACAAAAATACTAGTGAAAAGTCTACCGAAGAACGACGAAATCATGAAGTTTTTGGCGATCTGGATTTCCATTTTCATTGATTGTCTTTATCGCTTTCTTTACTTTCCCTGGTAATTTACGTTCATGCAATTTACTTTGATGCAGTTTATGTTCATGCAATTTAAGTTTCTGTATTTTCAATTTGCAATGTAAAACTCTGTACTTAAAATTTCCTGTCATTTAACGTTTCTACAATTTCGATTTCATGCTATTTACATTTCTGCAAATTCAATTCCTTGCCATTTATATTTAATGCAATTTGAGGTTTCCGCATTTTACATTTCTTTGCAATTTAATATTCCGTACTGCTTTTCGATTCGACATTTTTACTGCTTTCTTTACTTCGAGTATTTTAAATACAAAATATCAAAAACAACATTTTCGATTGTTAATCTGCACATTAGGTTGCGTTGTTATTATTTTTGGACACTACGATTTTCGATTCTCATACATATTTCGATTGAAAATCGTTTGCTAGCTTAAGTAAAAAGAATCTACGTGGTTGGAATTTGGTTAGAACTAAATCCCTTAGAAATCGAAATCGATCAAAATTCCACCAGAAACAAATTGGCGCACCAGGTAGGGGAGGCCTTGTGTCGAAAAAATTGGTTAGTTCGAAAGTGTATGAGATTAAGGAGTGGACGAGTAATAAGAATGAGTCAAAATCTACTAAACAACCAGAGTAATAGTGAGGGT